CCTGTAACCGTTTAAATTGACCTCCTTATTGCAGAGGGTGTGCTGGATACATATTACACCAACTAGAGAATGTCATATGTGAGTGTAGCAACACAACTCAGTTTCTTTATGTCTATTGTTTTATGCTCATTTTCCTCCTATGATTCTCTGGGACTGTATTCCATGTAAACTTCAGACAGAACTTACAGTGTCCTTCAATTCAATATTTTAATACTGAGCCATGAGCTTTCTTTCTATTTGTTGTATTTCTGAGCACTTCAGTAAAATGCCTTCTAATGAAAATACACAATAATTATTTAGATGGTAAATGTAATTTAATAGCAAATTCTGAGAAAGTTTTAAAGAACTGCAATTTTCAGAATTTGTTGTTTTTCTAAGCTTTTGTATACAAGAACATCCTCCATTTTTGATTTAATTTTATTTATTTATTTTTTAACAAACACTCAATTCCTGGAAAGCCACATCATTACACACTGTTGTGGGGCTTTTGGTTCAGTTTTCATGGACTTTCAGGGACAACATGTCTGACACTTTATTTATTTTATTTTTATGAGTGAGTGCATGTGTTGGTGTGTGTGTTTTTCTATCATACTTTTGTTTGATATTTTGTTCTTTTGCTGTGTGTGCATGTGCATGCATATACAAGTGTCCAGAAACGTGACTGAAGTGTGTGATTCTGTAGAGAGAGCCTGTATTACAAAATCTGAATCACAGATTTCACATTTATTACGTGCGCCGATATATTCTGTGCCCATCTTGCTCACTTTCAAATGCACGGGTTCATGTGTACTGTACTGTATGTGGCCATGTGTAAAATGGGTGTGTGCTGTGTCCTTGCTTGTGTGGGAGTTATTAAGCTCTGAGGGACTCTGATTCACAGGACCGTTGGCCACAAGCACGCTGCTGAGCAGGTAGCCAGCAGCAGGTGGCACGCATGGAGGGGATGGAGGGATGAGAGATGGAGGGATGGTGAGAACACAGGAAGAGATGCTCAGTGTTCTGGACACTGTGACTAGCTGAGTGATCAAACGGCCATGGGACTGTGTCATGCGGGGTGAGTGTGGCTCCGCTCAGAGGCTCTGAGTGCTCGCAGCATCCACTGCACTCACATCACACTCAATAGGTGGAACTCTGCAGTAGTGAATTAGCACAATGGTGAGTAAGAATGTGTACACAGGATGATCTGGGTAGTGAAAGATTATTAGTAGGATGTGCAGTATTGACCCTTTGCCCGGTTGCATTAAAAAAAACATCCTTAGGATGTTGTAAGTAAGTTGTGTTGTAACTTGTAAGGGAATCATAACGTTTACAGCCTGGTACAAAACATGGTTTCGGCCTCTTGAGTAAATTCCTCATTCATGACAACTGTAGAGAAGTGAATTTTTATATAACTTACCTGTTTGAATTATATTAAGGCTTAAAATCATGCATAATTAAGGCCATGGCCGCTGTGAGTGACAGGTGGGCAGCTATTTTCAGTAAACAGGCTTCATTCAGCCATCCTCAGCTCCACGTGGATGGAGAGGTAGCCTGCTTCCAGCTGTGTAAAATTAGCCTTCTGGGTGTGCTCATAAATATTTACATACTATATCCACCAGCTGTATTTTCATCAAATTATTTGCCTGTGCTGTCTGATGAGGCAGGCCCTAGTGGTACCCATCACATCGCTATTCTACATACAGTTGGAGTGCAGTTTAGAGATGCCTGTGGTACAAGTCAAAATGAAGAAAAATGCTATTTCACAAAACAAAACTGTAATAAATTCTCCTGTTATGAAACATCATTTTTTAAATTGATGTTGACACTGGGTCAGAGAGTTTGTGGTTGTGGTTTTGTTTATTAGATTGAATGGTATTGAGAGGAATACTATACAATGTAATCTAAAAAATAATGCAGCAAAATACATCCTCAAATTACACTACAGAGTTGAGGCGACACATTTTAAACCCAAATTTATGTCAATGTTACTGTATTGCATTTGATTACAGCATACAGCAGTGTTTCTACTTTTTGAACAGTGGGTGTAAATCAGTGCCTATGTTTGTATGACAGACTTGTGTAAAGTGCCAAGCAAGGCAACCTATCTCTGAAATGTATTAATTTAGATGGGAAACTCAACTTAGGATAAGAGTTCAATCCCGGCTGACTTAACCCTCGCTGGAGGCGCTTAAAAAAGTAAAGTAACTTCACTCCAGCGCTCACCAGTTGCAACATGAAAGGGAAATAACTTTATCCCATCAACTTTGAAGTGAAAGTTGTCATCTCTGCTCAGTCTTCAGTACTCCCACTTCACCTCTGCCAGTTCCTCGCTCATGGAGATGTGGGGGGGGGGGAATCAGGCAGGAGATAAGGTTTCCATGGTGATTGTCTGTCCCTTCTCCCAGGGGACCTGTCATATTAGAACCTGCCTTCCTTAGCAGTGACTTCACCGGCCGTTCCCTGTCAGTCCCTGCACTGTGTGCCCATTGTACGCTGAGTCTGCATTAATGCAGGCTGACATTTAGCTCTTAGGCCCTGCGAACAGATAGGAGATGACGGCCGTGATGGGCAGCATGGTAATACTGCACACCACGTTAAGTGAGCATCCCGCATGAGCGATCACTGTCCTACTGCTTCAGATATTAAGGGAAACATCTTGAGGAAATAAAGATTGATGAGGCAGTTTTGGAAAAAGATGTCCTGGTGCTTGATAACAGCCATGCTGAGCTTGATTCATAATCTGAGCTGAGCCAATGCCTGGCTTTGAAGTTTTTCATATTCTACAATTCTTAGCAGGTATCTGACAGACGCCTGCTCACTTGTCTTAGTTTGACAAAACATGAAGGGAGCTCCAAACAAAACCTGCTGCGATACTGTCGTTGTGAAAGAGATTAATGGCCTCATCTGCCACCAACAAGCGTTTGCCTGCAGATTTCTGAATATATAGAAATGATGACATCAAATCATCTTGCACATGCAACAGCACAGCACTGCCGTGTACTTGGCTGCAGAAAAAATTCTCTCAGTTTTTTTTCTCCAAATATTGTTCTCTCTCTTTGGGTTATTTTGAGAAGAGATCCCATCCTAAAAAAGCTTTGAGATCACTGTTTTCTTCGAAGGATTGACATGTTTCCACATGAAAACGGAATATCGGGGTGATATTTGTGTCAGGAGGGACTGGATTTGAATATTAGAAAATGTTTGTCACATAGTGAAGTTTTTACATACTGTTCCTGCCTCTTTGGATAATTACATTTTGTCCTACTTGGACTGCAACTGAAACTGAACAACAAACATAGGCAGAACCACAAATTGGGCACGCCATTTTTTCACTTGTTCATATAAAACTGTTATCTAATGGTTATAGAATAACCTCCTCCCAGCCAGATTAAAGCAAACACCAAGGATTATTCTTAGTACTATTTGGCAATGAACAAAGTGTTCATTTCAAATAAAATAATTACAGCAGCACGGCGTCCTTACATCAGCAGCCTGATGCACCGATCAGCCTGGCAGGAGGAAAACAGGCTATTGACTGTGTCTACAAAAGCAATTTAAAAAAAGAAAGAAAAAGAAAGGAACTAACCTTCAATGAGAGCAACCTATTAGACCAAATAGAGTCATCCAGAGTCCACTGAAGGTAGAATTAACACGTAAGAGAAAGACTTTCTTTTTTGCTTTCTATTCTTCATCAGCATGAAACTACAGCCAACCTGTGACTTTATTCAGCGTAACCTTGGTGTCAATGGCATTCAGCATTAACCATTATATTTTCACAGCAAGACGTGGGTTTGATATGTCACCAGTCTGAATGATGCCTTTAATTTGAATACATCTGCTCAGCATCATGTCTCAAAGTAATATTCTATCAAGGGCCAGATACAAGCACTGTCGTTTTAAAAGTAAAGTGTAAAAAATATCACCAGTGCCACAGAGAGAGAGAAATGAGGGTCCTTTTTCTCATGCACTAACATGTGTGTGTGTGTGTGTGTGTGTGAATGAGAAAAGACAATGGGGAATTGGGTTTTTAATTCAAGTCACACCATCAAATTTCCCATTTGAACTGTGGATTTACTCATTCTTAAAGTGTGACCTTAGGCCAAGTGTGCCCTGTTGGAAGAAAAAGACATTTAGTTCAAACAAATTCAGAGGCTGCAACATCTGCCCTGAATACAGGATATAGACAGCTGTTATCAATCAGTACTCAATGTATATATTGTTAAATACTGCGTTGTTTGGTGCTTATAAGGATCATTCACAGTAGCTGTGCAAAGATTATCTGACCGCTTCCATAAAAACAGGCAACAACAGTTTTGGAGCACAAACTCTTTATGTGTTTTTGTTTGACATCTGTTAGCGTCAGCCATTGAAACGGGTCATAAAAAGTCAATGAGAAATACCCATAGCATGCCTTGGATCCACTGGGACTAAGTGATGACGTAGGCTGAAGCTGAATAACCGGAGCGCACAGATGATGAGCGGAAACGCCAGTGCGCACCTCCCCATAATAATCTGCCTGAGCAGCGTCGCTGTCTTTTCAGCACCACTCACTGACAATCCAACCAACCGGAGAGGAAAGACAGGCAAAACTGACTTCTCTGCAAGCGTCTGTGGATTTTTTCTCTTAAGATAACAAATCAATACAACTTTTTTTCTTTCACCCAGTAAAGGAGCTATCAAATTCCGGCCGAGTTCCCACCAGCTGAAAGTAAGAATTTAGATTTATTGCTGTATTTTTTCAGACAGGACCGACCATGTGGTTGGTGGATGTATGATTTTATGATTTTTCACTGCGGATTCTGATTTGTTTTTGGTTTTTTATCTCTATGGTTACACTATAAACTAAGTTTGGTCTTTTTATTACACTTTGGGAGTATAGAGAGATGTGCGCAACCACTTGAATTAAAGAGTTGCTGTTTGAATAAGTTTATTTGATTATTTTACCGGAGACTTCAAACGTCCAGGCAGTAATTTAGGTGCCTTTGTTTTCGATTAAGACTTGGAATTTGTGTATAGTCGGGATGTTGATTTTAGTAGTAGGACTTTTGTACCTGGTCAGTGGACGCACGGTGCGAAGCCAGGATGCTACAGGTAGCCGCTTCGTTTGTAACGCCATTCCCCCGGGCGCAGAGCCGGGCTGCGGGTACGGTCCTACGGGGAACCGTGTCCAGAGCAGCAGCCCTGTAGAGGACGAGCTGCGGAACACGATCATCCAGCTCCGAGAGACCATCCTGCAGCAGAAGGAGACCATCGTGAGCCAGCAAGGGACCATCAAGGAGCTAAACTCCAAGCTGGCGCGCTGCGAGGCGGCAGCCGATGAGTCGTCGCAGGGCAAGTCCCGGGGTCAGGGCTCCAGACGGAAGGAGTACGGCAAGAACACCATGGGGGACCTGCCCCGGGACCCCGGCGAGACCATAGACCAGCTGGGCAAGACCATGCAGAGTCTCAAGGGTCGGCTGGAGAGCTTGGAGGTAAGACGGCACAAACATGCAGCTCCTGCGTAAACGTACATCACTTTTGTTTACCAACATTATTAATTACATTAATTAACTGCAGTATGGATTTTGTTATTAGAGCTACATGCGCCTCAGCAAGGTCTTCGACATTTCACCAGTAATACTATAGAGCATTGCACACACGTCTGATAATCCTCTGCGCTGCTGGAGACCTCTCACTAGAATCTGAGATCAAAGGGTCACATAATAGACATGTCACATCAATACGTTATTAATCACCTTAGAGATAACTGTGATGCTGAAACCCGCTGCGTAAGAGTCATAAATAAGGTATGAGCAACAAAAAATCTTGTTAAAGGTGTAACCATGAATGTGGTGCAGGAATTTGAAAAGCAACCTTGAATAACTAATGAATAGGTGTGAGTGTGTGTGTGTGGGTGTGTTCCACATAATCTTTTATTTGCAGTCATGTGACTAATTATTCATAGCAGCTGATGCAGATTCACCTGCACCAGAGCACTGACATCAAAATGTTTAATGGTTTAGTCGTTCATATTCCTGTTGACCTGAGAGCTCTCCAGCCTTTGTTCAGTCCCAGGAGAAGCTCACACCTCTGCTGTGTGAATTCATTCCACAAGGCTAAGAGATCACTACAGATATTGAGGTCACCTATAGGGAAGTGCTTTACATAGAGCAGAAGGTGGATATTTAAGCCATGGCTTTATCTCTTATGTCATAAAAACAATGTAGTGCATTTTTCACCATCTGACAACCCTGATACCACAAACAATCAGAATACTGTTTATTCAAAATTCAAGGTTATTTCTATATACACTATGCTGCATTGCTGATACCATCCATCTCTCTATCCCCCCCCCCCCNNCCCCCCCTTCCCTCGCCTCCTCTCTTCTTGATTGGAAGCTCTAATACCCTTATCAAATCAAAGGGTATACTGCTGCTGTGAGGATACATATTATATTGCATTTTAATCACATATCTATTGATCTGCATCTGCTTAACATAATGATTATTGCAAACCTGATGTTGCTGATAGCATATGGCTCCCTGGAGTGGGACCTCTCTCGCTAATCAAAGCCATCTGCATATCTCAACAGTTGCATTCAGGATCTTGCAATTGCTTGCTTCGGCCTTCGGTGCCAGATTACCGGGGAATCTCTCATTTTAGCTATTCAGATGGTGCCGTTTTGTTAGGAAAAGATTAATCAAACTCTGTGAATGTGTCACAAAGTGCCTGAATCCCAGACGGCGGGGGAAACATCAGCACAGCTTTAGAAAATGAACATCTGAGGGCTGCACAATGAAAGCACCACCTAGACGCATGGGCCTGTACGGTTGTCTGCGATCACTCCCCGTGTGAACTCAGAGTGACGTCACATGTGCATAGCGTCGCCTACCTTTAATACCTGGCCCAGCCATGAGCGTTTGGCAGGTCACCAATCAAGGTCTGCCACCGGGACACATTGTCTTCATTTTGATATTGCTGAGTCCAAAACAATGTTGCTGAAAGGATATTAGACCTAAAAGGTGGATAAGATCAGTCATCTACTGCAGATCTAGGTCTTTATGGAGACTGAATGCCTGTTTGAGTGCACAGGATTAACTGGATTAAATGTCTGTGTCATTGTTTGTATGTGTCACTCCCTTATCTATCTATCTATCTAT